TGGATTAAGCTATTTCTATACACCAACATTTAAAAAGCTGTCTTTTAAGCATCCCAATGAAGGTGCACTCATAAGAAAGATCTCACATATTAAAGTTGTCAAGTGCAGTCCAAAGGTAGAAGACTGCTATTGGTAAGAATTGTTAGGTCTCTCGGGGTCTCCCCATCCCTGCCTGGTGGGGGAAGGTCTTAAGACAAGAAGGGGGCATTGGGCCTTTGGTATACACCTGTAATCCCAGCATTCAGGAGGTTAAGCAGGAAGATTTCAAGTTCAAATTCAGTCTGGGCTGCATAGTGAGACCCTGTCTCAAACAAAACAAAATAAAATAAAAGTCCCCACAATGAATATAATCATTATGCACTGCAAACATACACTAATAAAAATTTAAAAACAACAACAAAAGAATGGCTGGGGAAGTAGCTTAGTGCAAGGCTCTGCGTTCAATCCCCAGTACAGATCGGGGAGAGGATCCAGACCCAGACATCCCCACTGGCCTCTGCCCAGCTCCAGGCATGGCCTCCTGTTCATGCAGATGCAGGTATGCGGCTGGATTCTCATGGACTCCAAGCTAGGACTGGCAGCTGCCAGGGGCTGCTGCAATGCTGGGAAGCACCGCGCTAACGGTGTGTCTTCAGCTTGGTCAGCACAGCAGTCCTCTCTCCAAAGCCCTGTGGGACACAGGGTCTTCTCAGGTGAAGAAACTGAGGCCACAGAAGTTGCATAACCTTCCCAGGGTTACCAGTGTTTCTGGGGACCCCAACTTCCTAGACACCTACTTTTTAAGTTGAGATGATTTTAAAAGTAGCCACTATTTCTGATTTTCCAAGGCAGAGGCTGGGATTTTGTCCTTTCCTTCCCCAGTGTGACTTCTCTCCCAGCCCACCTTCTGCAGTCTCATTCACTCAAGTTACTGCTCAGTCTTTAAAGAGAAAGACACTGTATACCCTCGTATGACCACACTTCCAGACTGGGATCTGGGCAGAGGCCTCTTCTGCCTGCCGGGTCAAGGAGCAGTGTGTGCCAAGGAGTCACGACCAAGGGGAAGCACACCCATCAGCATCGACATTTCCACTAGGGTCATGCAAGACCAGTCTGAAATAAGTGTGCCAGAGCTATATACAACACAGCCGTAACACAGGGCTATATATAACACACTGTGCGCACAGTGGTACGCACGCCTGTAATCCCCACTACTCACAAGGCTGAGGAAGGAGGATACAGCACTGGACGAATGCACTAAATGCATACTCAAATTCCTTCAGCAGAAAGACCAGTCAATGATTAGGGGACTTGTCTATAAGAGAGAGAAGTACTGGACTGGGGATTTAGCTCAGTGGTTCTGCCGCCTACCTCGCAAGCACAAGGTCCTGAGTTCGATCCATGGTACCAAAAAAAAAAAAAAAAAAAGACAGAAGTACTAATTTTGTAGGCTATTGAGCAAGCCTACAAATGATTTGTTCATGACAGGTAGACTGAAAACTGAAATAAAATCTGAGAATTCAAGAGTCAAAAGGAACCCAGCCCAATCAAATTACAGCCAGCTACACCTAAACAACTCCCTGTCACATATTCTATATGTGGGTAGTGGGTCTCGGGAGGGGCCACATGGGGCTCTCAGGGACCCAGTTACTGCCACTCCCTGTCCCATTTCACTACCCCCCATCTCCCTCCTGAGAATCTCCCAGCCAACCCTGCTCAGCTTCTATTTGCTAGTACACTGCACCCTCTACTGGTCACAGAAAGTCTTTCTTCTTTGAAGAAAGGAATGTCCTTTTTGATAGCTGGTGAGCAATTCATCTACACAATCCCTTTCTGTAAAATTGCTATGCATACTCACCCTTCAATTGGTCTTAGGTTTCATTTCAGTAAAATAGTTCCATTTTCCTCAACAAGATTCAAGGCACCTGTATTTACAAGGAAAGGTTTTGAAGCACAAGTATACAAAACAAGTATAGGAGAAAGGCTGTATGATCCTTTAAAGGACACTGAACAGTTTTGGGATTCTCTTTGTTTTATAAAATACATCAAGTAGTACAGTACTACATTCATTCAACAATATTTGTGTAGCACCTTCCATATACCTGGCACTAACAGATAAAACTCTCTGCCCTAAGGAGCTTATTCTCTATGTAGGGAGAGGGATATTTAAGTAATAAAATAAATAGCTGGCAATAAGTAGTATGAAAAATAGGTAGAAAAGAAGAATCAGGATGTCTGCTATTGCTGTTTGAAGTCAGGATGAGGGGTGAGGGAGCCATTCTTGTGGACAGACACCTGGTAGGGAAGGTCCCAGGAGAAAGGAACAGTGCTGAACTATGGCACTGCAGTGTCTTAAGTTTGTTCAATGAACAGCCAGAAGGGCCCTGTGACTAAGGTGGGGCAGAGTAAACGAGGCTGATGGGGGAAGAGGGTGAAAACTGCAAGGAGCTTGCAGGCCCCTGTAAGCATGTGGGTTGCATTCCGAGGGGACAGGAACTAAATGGGGGCCTCCAACAGGGGCAATGACATGATCCTGGGTGTATACTCTCAAATGTTTCACTGAAACACACAATTAGCCAGGTCAGGAACAAGGGGACTGCAGAGTAAATTCTATGAGCCTTCTCTTTCTTTTGGCTGAGACTGGAACCTGGAAAAGGTAACACGCAGAAAAGAGCAGAACTTCAACTGAGATGTGGTGTACCTCCCCAGATTAACCGCCACTCCTATGCTAAAGCACAAATCGTACCACCTGCTGCGCAAGAGCAAGGACCCGAGTTCAATCCCCAGTACCAAAAAAAAAAAAAAGAGGCATGAATCAGACCATATGATCTGCTTAATAAAACCTGAAGTTTCCCACATTTAGGTCCAGTGCAGTATCCAGGATCACACTTCTATTTCCATTGAGCATTTGTCCTTTTTAAGGGTTTTGGAGTTCCCCTACCCAAGTGCTGGGCTTGAACCCAGAGCCTTCCCTTTCTAATGTTTGGAGACAGAGCCTACATGTGAACTTGAGATCTTCCAGCCTCAGCCTCCGAAGCAGCTGGGATTATAGGCATAGACCACCACACTTGGTTCTGTTATTTACATGATTAATTCCTACCTTTTCACTTTGACACTTTAGTCTTTTTTTGGCATTGGGGATTTCAATCAAGAGCCTTGCACATGCCAAGTATACACCTTACCATCAAGCTGCATATACCCCGGCAAGATGTTCTAGTCTCAAATACCCTAATTCATCAATGGCAAACTTCAGCTATGCCTTGCAGCTCCACACATAAAGGTACACAGAGACCTCATGCAGTTTGCCAAGTGAAGTCACCCTGCCCTTAGTCAGCAAAGCCAAGGCCAGGCCTCACAGAACACAGGTCTTGTACTTGTCTTTTGGCACAAAGGCCAACCTGGCCTGTCTTGAGTCCTACAAGGGAGACACTTCTGTGATACTAACTGTTCACAAAGCTTTCATTTCTGGATCTCCCACTGGATCACAGCTGCCCCAATGCCCCTCGGCCTGCAGCTTTGATCTGGCTCTGTGCACGGTTTGTTCAGCTGTGCTCACCACTGTGCCTTCCACTGTGTTCCAAGTAGCAGGGTCCACAGTCGCACCAGGTGCTTGAGCACTTGAAATACAGCTAGCCCAACTGAGAAGTAGTGGAAGTGTAAAACACCCACCAGTGTCCCAAGACATAGCATACACAAAAAAACTAATTTCTTACACTGATTACATGTTGAAATATTCTGAAGAGCTGGGCATGGTGCCACATACCTGTAATTCTAGCACTCTGGGAGGATGACACAGGAGGATCTTGAGTTGCAGTCCAACTTAGCAAAATCCTGCTTCAAAATAAAGGCCCTATGTTGAATCCCTAGTATCAAAGAGACAGACATAGATGGATAGACAGACAGACAGACGAAGATAGATAGATGAGATTTTGAATATATCAAGTTAAACTATATTGCTATAATTAATTTCACTTGCTTCTGTATTTTTTTTGTACTGGGAATCGAACTCAGGACCTTGTGCTTGCAAGGCAGGTGCGGTTCCACTGAGCTAAATCCCCAGCCCTGCCTATGCATTTTTTAATGTGACAAGAAAATTTAAAATTACTTAATGTTTCTACTGGACAACTACGTTCCACAGTATCCCAACAGTTTTCATTTAATGAACAACTATAATGTGCCAAGCACCTTGTTAGATGCCTTATACACTAGTATTTATTCAACCTTAACAACTCTAAAAGTAGATATGACCCACGTAATCATGTAAGAGCAAGACTAGGGAGCTGATGCTCAGGAAAGCCACGGAGCTTACCTGGGAGTGGTGGCACATGCCAGTAATCGCAAGCACTCTGGGTAAACGAGTCGGGAGGATCACAAGTTCAAGCCCAGTCTAAGCAACTTAGAAAGCCCCTGTCTCAAAGTGGGGAGGAAGGTGCAAATGCAGCTCAGTACTAAGGACCTGGGGTCAATTCCCACTGCTGCAAAAAGAGGCATAGGAGATGGTGTGTGTGCTGGGAGGGGGGAATGACCAATATCAGAATGCAAAAGAGATTATTATGGCCATAGCTCCTACAGACATTAAAAGAAGCAACTACTGCAAGCAACTTTATGCCTACAAACCCGACAACCAGGGCCACATGGTTCAATTCCCATTATGTTAAAAACATTGTATTATATATTATTATAATATTGAAACTACTGTATTAAAACATGATCTACCTGAATCCTGTAAAATGAAGTAAAAAACCTGAATAGAGCCCGGTGTGGTGGCACATGCCCGAAAGTCCAGCATTCAGGAGGATGAGGCAGGAAGATGGATCACAAACTGAACACCAGACTGGGGTACAAAGCAAGTTTAAGGCCTGCCTGGACTACACAGGGAGACCCTGTCTCAAGGTAACAACAAATTCTGAATAGCCCTATATTTAAGAATTTAATGATAAAAAAAGCTTCCTACAAAGAAAACTTCAGGCCCAAATGGTTTCACACATCAATTCCATAAATGACAAAGAGGACAGTTAAAACTGGATTATTAAAAAATGAGCCTTTAATATCAATAGGAACACTGGTCATGAGTCCAACAGGCTACACATAGGAAATCAACTCTGATGAATTCATTTCTTCTTCCCTTTTGAAGGTTTGGCAAATAACACCGGGTCGATCTGCTCCCTCGTCAGCCCTCTGACAGAGAAGAGCCTGGTTGCACGCTCCTGCAGGGTACCCCCACACTTCAGGCCCAGGGCCAGCAGCACACACTTCAGCTTCTCCAAGCCCAGCAGCTCCAGCTCGGCCACAGAGCTGAACACCAACAAATCCAGACGTTCCTCACTGAGAACCTGAGGGAAAAAGGAAAAAGAGATTTTGTTCAACTGTTGACTACAGCCTATTTTTCAAGGAATTGTCATTTAATTTGCCATTATCTTTCTGACTATTGAATCTCAAACATTCAGGGCAGAAAGAGAAGTATAAGATTCCAGACTGGATTTTTTTTTTTTTTTTTGCAGTGCAGGTTATCAAACTCAACCCACCAAGCATGCTAGGCACACACTCTCCCACTGAGCTACATCTCCAGCCAGGATAGGTTCTCAATATTACCTTTTCTTTTTCTGATTATTCCAGTAAAAACATCTAAACAGTAAAATGTACCCCATCTACCCCTACACTACCACAGAAAACAGCAGGCACAAAAAAGTTTAATTTTAGCTGGATGTGGTGGCACATGCCTGCGATTCCAGTACTCAAGAGACTGAGGCAGGCAGGAGAATTGCCACAAGTTCAAGGCCAGCCTGGAATACATACGTATTCCAGTGAATATATACAGTGAAACCCTGTCTCAAAAAAACAAAATATAAAAATAAATAAAAATCTCAATTTTAATGGATTACCCTTGCCTCTTAATCTCTTAATTTCACAATCTTAATGTTTTCTATTATAACTAAACAAGATCAATTGTCAGTTACCACTTATATAACTCACCAAATTCAATGCATATAACAGATTTGCAACTGCTCTATCTAGCTTGTTCCTTTACAGACTCTAATACAAAATTAAATACTTAAGTATTTCTAATGCCCTACAGGCAACTAAATGGTATTTTAAAATACATCTTTCGAAGACTTTCAGGAAGATGGTGGAGCAGTAAATGAAGATCAGCCCCTCTGAGACTCAGAATCTGGATAACAACTTGAGGAAGAAAAGGAGGAGGGAGGTGGATCCCCAGAACCCAGGAAGGATCTGAAGGGAGAACTGGAGCCCACAGGGAAAGTGAAGAGACAGATCTCCAGGCAGAAAAAAGGAGGTGGCAAACTGCACTTTCTCACAGCATGACAAATGAGTTGCAAATCTATAGACACAGGGAAGGCAGGGGACCTCAGAAGCCTCCATAGTGGGTGACTCCAGAGGCCTTCAGGGAGAAACGCATCAGGGGAACAGAGCAGTGGATGCTGTGAACTACAACAGCTGGTGAGTGAGTCCAGTCCAAGCATCCCCTAGAGAGGGAGCTTGGCTAGATGCCATTTAAGGGAGGGGCCAATTGAAGTTGGGACTCAGAGCAGCTGTGGGTTGGCTCCTTCCCAGCAAGTAGGTAAGGCACAACCATGGGAGACATCCAGGGTCAGGTAGCCACGGTCAGGCTGGCAAGCAACACCCAGAGTGTTGCAGGATGAACAATTCAAGCCCTAACCCCACAACCAGAGGCCAAGATCAGCCTGAACTTCTGTGGAGCTGAAAGCACCAGAATTGGCACTCAACCCTATTCCTACTCCAGGGTTGCTGAGATTATCCAGCATGGATCTGGGCTCTGTTTGACACCTTTGTCTATCAGAGAAAGAAAAGACAAGGCCTGAATTGGACACTATCACAAAACTGTAGACCCCAGAAGATAAGTACAGGCTTGAAATCATAGAGAAATCTTTTTCTCTTTGATCTTCACTGTTTATTGTTTTTTCACAAGTGTGAACATTGTTTTCTTTAGTCTTTGTGTTTTTGGTTTTTGGTTTTATTTTGGTCCCTTCCTTCCCCTCTCTCTCTCTCTCTCTCTCTCTCTCTCTGTCTCTCTCTCTCTCTCTCTTTCTTTCCCTCCTGCCTTCTTCACCAGTCTCCCAAAGCTCGGGTAATCTTCTTTCATTCATCCTTCAACCTTGCTTCTAATCTCTTTCTCTTCTTTTATATCTATTTTATTCCTCTTATCCCTTTTAAATTTTCTCCCCTGAGGGTAAAATCACTCTATTATGGGAATAGTTACTACAGATAATTTTCTGACCTGTTGTAGATTTTATTATAGCTATAAATCTTGCACCCATGGTTTAAGGTGGCAAATTACAGTTATCACTTGCCATTTTCTAGTCTGTACTTGATGCTACTGTTATTACTGATTATACTATTTTAGTCAAGGTGACATATGTGTTGTGACTAGTTGTGGTTCTTTGTATATCAATACTGAGATTGTCTGGATGTCATAAACAACACCATAGGCCAGCCCCAAAAAACTGGGTGCTAGGCCAAACAGGCAGCAACTTCTCAACCCTAATCAATTTAAGAGGAAGGATCTTGGGACAGACTCAAAAGCCAAACGCCAGCTACACTTAGAAGACATTTCTGAAAAAAATTCATTTATTAAAGAGGTCCCAGTATTATTAACAAAGCTACCTACTATAAGCAATTTACAAGCATCAATGCAGAAAACAAATTTTTAAAAATAGAAAATGAGAAGACACAGAAGCAAGACGCAGTCCCAAACCTCCAGTTCACCCAAGGCAAATCCAGTGGGCATTAAAGTGGAAGAAACTGGGCTGGGGATTTAGCTCAGTGGTTTTGCCACCTGCTGAGCAAGCGCAAGGACCTGAGTTCAACCCCCAGTACCAAAAAGATAAAAAGAAATCTAAAGTGGAAGAAATTGAAGGTCACCCAGCTGAACTTTCTGAAATAGTACCAGTGGAAGTAACACAGCAGATAAATGAAGAAAAAAAGAACCCAGAAATAACTTCTCAGAGAAATAAAAGAGATAATGACCATAATGAAGGGCATGGCTAGTGAATCTAGAGTAGATACAGATTTTAAAAAAAAAATGCAGGAGCTTAGGAAAGTGATGGAAACCAGGAATACCCAACATATGAAAGAAGTGAATTCTATAAAACAGATTCAAACAGATATCCAGGAGATTAAAAATTCTTTTGAAAGTGGATGCAGAAGGATCAACCAATGTGAGGACAGAACATCAGATCTAGAAGACAGGTTTCTGGTTAGTGAACATCAAATGAAAGACTTATTAAAAATAGCAAGGTGAGCCGGGGATTTAGCTCAGTGGTTTCGCTGCCTGCTGCACAAGCGAAAGGACCCAAGTTCAATCCCCAGTACAAAAAAAAAAAAAAAAAGACAAAATATGGGCTGGGGATTTAGCTCAGTGGTTCCGGTGCCTGCCTCGCAAGCCCAAGGTCCCGAGTTCGATCCCTGGTACCAAAAAAAAAAAAAAAAATAGCAAGGTGGCCAGGGATTTAGGTCAGTGGTGCTGTCTCCTGCCTTGCAAGCTACAAGGTCCCTAGTTCAATCCCCAGTACCAAAACAAAAACAAATACAACAACAAGGGACTGCAAAAAATCAATCCAACAGATGCTAGATGATGCTAAGAATAACATAAGGGAATAACATAGGAATCAATGAAAAATCAAAACAGCACAAAGGACATAAAAAAACAGTTTACATAAGTAATGGCAGAAAAGCTCCCAAGCACAGAAAAATAACTTGACATACAGATAAGTGAGGCATATAGAACTCCAATTAGCCATGATCAGAAAACAACTACACCAACACATACAAGATTCCAGAAATTCAACACAAGAATAGAGTACCAAAAGCTTTAGAGAAAAGAAACAAATCACATATAAAGGAAAGGCCATCAGAATCACAGCAGACTTTGCAACACAAACCCTCAAGTCAAGAAGAGCTTGGAGTGAAGTATTTCAAGCCCTAAAAGAAAACAACCTCCAACCCAGATTGATATACCCTGAAAAGTTATCTTTCAAAATTAATGGAGAAATAAGATACTTCCATGACATAGAACACCTGAAGAAATTCATGACCACCAAGCCCGAACTCCTAAAAGTTGTGAAGGATATTCTAGAAAAAAGACAATGAAGACTATAATTCCATGAATCCCAATAGAATGAATCCACCAAAGTAAACAATTAAACAAAGGGGAAAGAAAGGGAACCATCAAGAGGAAAATAATATGACAAGGATAAGTCAATACATACCAGTTATAACCAGCATGTAAATGGTCTCAATTCACCAATCAAAAGAAATAGATTGCCAGTATGGATCAAGAAACAAGATCCAATAATATGCTGCATACAAGAAACTTATTTAACTCAAAAAGAAGTGAACAGACTGAAAGTTGAAAGATGGAAAACAACACTCCATGAGACAGGAACCCAGTAAAAAGCAAGAGTAGCTATTCTATTTGCAGACAAAGTGGATTTCAAGCCAAGTCTGATTAAGAGAGGCAAAGAAACTCACTACATACTTGTTGAGGGAACAATCCAAGAGGAAGATATAACAATCATAAATATAAATGCATCAAATACCAGTGCACCCAACTATATAAAACAAACATCAGGGCCAGAGATATAGCTCAGTGGTGCCGAGCCTGCCTGGCAAGTGCAAGGTCCTGAGTTCGATCCCTGGTACCGTAAATAAACAAACAAATAAAACAAACATTAATGAACATAAAAAAATCAAATACAATTGTATTCGTACTAATACAACTGTAATGGGGGACCTCAATACCCGACTGTCACAAATAGATCAACTAGACAAAAAAATCAACAAAGAAATATCAGTGCTGAACAAATGGAAACCTTTGAACAAATGGAATTAGTAGATATCTATACAGTGTTCCACCACACAACAGAATATACATTCTTCTCAGGTGCACACGAGACTTTCTCCAAAATAAACCATACACTAACTAGCCCACAGGACATGCTTAAGTAAATGCAAAGGAACTAATATTATTCCATGCATATTATCAGATCATAGTGCAATACAATTGGAAATCAATGGCAAAAGAAACCACAAAAACTGTATAAATACATGGAAATTAAATAATAACCTCAAATAACCAATGGTCACAGATGAAATTACAGTTTCTACAAGTAAACAATAAGGCCACAACAAACTTATGCGACACAAAGAAAAGAATCCTGTGAGGGAAATTTATGGTGGTGAATTCCCACATAAGAAATATAGCAAGCTCAAATAAATAATCTAATGTTGAACCTCAAGCTTCTAGAAAAAGAAGAGCCAGTTAAACCAAAACCACATTATGAGGTGGGAAACT